AAATATATATTCACTGATCGACTAACAGACACCCTGTAAAATATGCCCAATTATTACCACGAATTAAAACCAAACGAATAATCGAAAAACAGCCCAGAAAAAAAGTATATGTCAAATTTGTTTGGCTAACTGATTGATTGACCGACTGTCTGACTGATTGACTGATTGGCTAACTGATTGGCTAACTGATTGGCTAACTGGTTGACTGACTAACTGTCTGACTGACTGATTGACTGACTGACTGACTGACTGACTGTCTGACTGACTGATGGACTAACTGATTGACTGACTGACTGTCTGACTGACTGACAGCACGTGCAGAATTTGCTGAGCTTTGCTCGCACAGCTTCTGGAAAGGAAGAGGTCATATAAATAGACGTTGCTGGTTTAGGAATCTATATATATATATATATATGGAATACGATTAGGTTGTATGGAACATTGATAAATCGATCGAACAGGAAGCGGTCTGCATGCATAATATTTTTTATATTATGGATCTAGTATGTTGTGTAGACCATGTGTATATAGAGACAATATTAATATTTTATGAAATAAAGTCTGTAAACAAGAATTGGGATCAAGCCGGATGCGGCTGAACATCTATATAGACATTATTTGTAGTCAAGTCTTTGGATATCTATATAGATGTATGGATAAAGATGTATGGAATTAAGATTTCCAATATCTATATGATAGTATTCATATTTTAAGGAATAAAAATGACTTCTGCTACATACAGCCTGAACATACCCTATCCCAGCCAATTGTGCATTACAGGGTATTAACAGTTCCTGAAACGGAACCCGAATACCGACTCTCAAACCCAAAATTTGTACCACAGCCAAGGCGCACGGCTCAAATCGTGCCCCCTCCCACGGCCTGCCACAAACCCCTTCACTCTTCACTGAATCAATAATACACCCCAGCTGCCATGTGTGTGTGTGTGTGTGTGTGCATGATTGAGTGCCTGTTGTTCTGGTTGTTGTTGTTGTTGTTGTCGTCTACCCCTTTTGGTTCGATTTCGGTTCAACTCATCTATCAATGTCAAATTATGAAGTGATCATATTTGGATTTATGCGGCCACGCTTCTAGCGGGGGTACGAGGCCAGGCATGCCCGGAGGAAGGGGACTTAAAGTCAACTGTGCCACATACGATAAAAGTAAACTGAACCCGCACACACTCACACACGGACACTGGGCCATTTAGTTCTTTAAGGTGCGCGACAAAAGGTCGAACAATGGGAATTCTGGAACAAAATAACTCTAGAGCTGACTTTGAATGCGAATTGTTATGGAAACTTTTGCTGGGAACTCAAGTATTTTGGGGAATTATATTATTAGAAAGTAGATTATGGAAGAAAAATAGGTTAGGTTTTGACTGATTGATTGACTGGCTGAATGACTGACTCAGTTATTGACTGACTGACTGAATGATTAAAAAACGGACTAATTGACTGACCGACTGATTGTTTGACTGCTGCATAGCACAAGCCGTAAGACCTGAAATAAGATGGGTTTATGGAAAATTCGACCAGCAATTGGCCAAGGTCTGTGTGAAAGACATGAACAGCAACGCAGTCAAATGTGCTTTGCAAATGTGACGTCACAAGCTTGTGTGGCTTTCACGTCGGACCAACAAGTGAGAGGTCGCCGGCTCAAATCTAGCAAAAAGTTGTTACGACACGAGTGACATGGACAGTCATTAAGAAAATAATTAAATTGTGAGAAAATCGTATTAGATATGTTTGTAACATATGTTTGATATATACATTGAAACCTAAACGATCTGGCAACGCTGCGAGTATCTAACTCGAATGAGGAACTGTAGAATTTGCACGTTTTTTGCACAGCTGATGCCCACGGTGTCTTGCCACACGATTGTTGCATGTCAAAGGGGCAAACACATAGCAAAAACAAACGCTCCGGGGATGGCCAAGGCCAAGGCAGTGGCGTAGCCTGTGGAAGAGGGGGGGGGGGGGGGGGGGCATAAAATAAAGAATGAAAAAAATGTAGCCCTGGCTAAGCCCATAAGCGAACGTGTTCATAATATTTACAGTTATTGATATTTGAAAAGGCGGAAAATTTATAACGAGCGACATGTGTGTGACAACATGCTGTGGGTACGAGTGGAGCGGGGGATGTTAGGTAGGTTAGGGGTATGGTAGGGTGAGGGACTGGCTACGGATTCGGGTGCTGAGTGTGAAGGGCAACGGTTACGGTTAGGGCTTACGGCGGAAGGGTGCAGCCCGAGCGCAATATTCAATCAAAAATCGATTACAAGGACCAAAGCGGCGAATGAGCATGTGGCCCGACAAACGTGTCACTGGGAGGGCTGTGCTCCACAAGGTGGGCGGGGCAGGGTGTGTATTAGAGGCATGAGCAGGGCTCGGCGTGCGGTCCGTAGCTGCTTCCTTGTGGCAGGTTAATCTTTTCCAGAGCCAATCCCCCCACGCCCCCCCTACGCCCCGTGCCACACTTGGGCACCACTTGGTGGCCACATGGGCATGACAATGAATTATTTGGCCCCGTCTCGGACCTGAGCCTGGACGCGGACCCAACGTCAACGCGCACGCACTTTTCTGCTTCATTTTTTTTTTTTGCCTACTTTTGTCGCAACAATTTTAAAACCTTAATTCACATGTGTAAATTGAAAGGCAGCACCTGTGCGCTGGCAGGCGGGTAGCAGGGCAGCGGGACAGCGGGGCAGCTTTTTGGGTGATAAGGGTGCAGGCGGGCGAGGGTTGGGGGATGGGTGATGGGGGGCTGCTTGAGGCATGGGGCTGGGATAGGCAGCAGAGCTTGAATTATGGAGCAGCCTGCGTCTGTCTATGCTTGATTTATGGCCCAAGCAGCAGCAGCCGCCCCCCTCCTTCGCCTGCCCCCCGCTGCCACCCACCTGCCTCTCACTCTCTCACTCATGCTGTGCTGCGTCCCACGTGCCGCATAATTCTTCATATTTTCATATATTTTGCTTTTTTTTTATCCTGTGCGGCTTCAACTGGCTCCAAGCTGACTTCACAATATGGCCCAGATTTTGTTTTGTTGTTGCTGTTGCCCGCCTCCTGTGGCAGCTGCCGTGGATAATTTGTAATTTAACCACTTTTCAGGTTCAGTAGCCGCAGCTTCACATCTCATTGTTGTTGCTGTGCATGTTGTTCCGCTTCCGTTGGGCGTTGGGCAACTTCCGCTGCGCACCTTTTGTCTGCCAGCGAATCATTTCTGCTTCCCTGTCTTTTCGACCATATATACCCTTTCGCAGCGGGGTATGCTAATTCTTAAACAGCAGTTTGCTTTCCATCAACAAAACCTGGGCGTTTCTTTGCCATTTTTTATAATTATTATTATTTTTTATTTATTTATTATTTATTTGATAAAACTCGGAATGGAAATATATATTATTTAATTTGTTTTTCTATGTGTGCATGTTTCAAGCGGAACCAGTTCGGAACCTGCAGCACTGTGAACCCTGACTGCAAGCCCTACAAACGTTTTTACTGGTTCGGTTCACGATTTGCTTTGTGAACTTTATCAAAATTCATATGAAATTATTTAGATATTTATTTTGATATTGTATTTGGCGTATTGCAACCGGCTTAAGCAAAATATGCTTCGGTTCGGCTGCTTTGTATTCAATCAAATCGATTTTGGTTCCGGTTCATGGCAAATAATACATTAAATTTAAGCCAGATCAGCTTGCAATCGAAATAAAAAGCATAACTTTATGGCACATGCACAATATCTTCGCTTTAGCTAGAGTATTTGCTATTCGGCTAGCTGTCAATCATAATTGAGCTTTGGTCCTTCTGCTGCCTGGCGGGCTGCGCGTCAGCGCTGAGCAAATTAAATGAAATTTCTGCAGTGACATAAACTTGTTTATTTTGACAGACACACACACACACATACACACACACACACGCACACACATATTTTCTTTTACAAAAAGCCACTCGCAATCGTTAACCGCGTTTTTTTGCGCTCCTTCTTAATTCGCTTAAAAAAAACATGATAAAAAAAGCAAGTAAAAATTGGCAAAATTTAATAAGGACAATGCGCGCTCGACAGTGCTTAGCCAGGAGCAGCGTAGAGGGGCGTGGCGCTGGGGGGCAACTGCCTGGACCTGCTCCGTTGATGAGGATCAGCCAAGCGGCGTGCGGGCGAATTATGCGATTTGCGCATGCAAATCAAATCTGGTCACATATGCGTGAAATCAGCCCCCTCCTCCCCCTCGCCACCTTTCCCGCCTGCTCCCCCCCTCCTTCATACCCAACCACCAAACAGTTACCGCCCAGTCACCCGCCTTGTTAGACCACGCTGAAGGGAAAAAAGGACACGAAAAAATTCGCGAGTGGAAAATTTTTAATTTCCAAATTTGCGATAATCAGTTTTATATTGAGTTGTTGCCGCTGCACGGGAATGTATATTGTGGTTAAGTTGATTTGGGGCTTGGCAGGGGGAGGCTGGTTGCTTGGCTGCAGAATGGGCGGAACGCATGCGTTTGCAGGGTGTGGCCCGTCCTTCTTGGCTCGCATGCAAATGAGTGAAGCAATTTACCTGACGAAGCCGCAAACGCGGGGGCAATCCTGCAGCTGACAGCTGGCTCCGCGGGCAGAGGGGTGTGGGGTGTGGGGCCGGGCGAATAGAATTAAATTAAGCAACGAATCGCAATGCGAAAAACAAATTCACTTAATACGATTTATTATATTGATTGCGATTCTGATTTGGCTTTGAGAGTACGCAAAGCTTGCAAAAATTCGCATGATTTCCCGTGCTGCGGGGCAGAAACTCTCTGGAAACGTAGCCGCGGTAGGGAGAACACGTTAGTCGGGATATATTATATTATATTATATTATATTATATAATTATATTATTTGTAATCGAGGTACAAATATTTTCTTTATTATCAATGAAACCGACTTGTAATTTTACCGCACGCTATCCAGTCGGACATCAAACATCGAACACCAGAATTTGAGGAGTTTTCATGAACCATTTTTTTTTGACATAATACGCTTTTACTGGTAGGAACAAATATTAACTGTGTCTGCTTGGAAAGGGTAAGGCTTAGATATATTGAATCGCATCCAACCTGAACAGCGCTGCCAACTTACCTGGAGACATGTCCAGTATTTACAACTTCTATAACATACTGCCCTTCGGCTGCCCTAGATATTCCTAGGGCCGGCTTGACTGAGGGAGAATGCATTGAGAGAGGAGGAATTTTGTAAGAGGGCAGAAAACTTACACGACAAACCAAAACAAGCTAAAAACAAAAAAAAAAAAAAAGAACTTAAATCAACTTGAACTACATTTTGGACTTTTAAATTTTTTTATTAAAAATGTTTTTTTTTTTTTTCGAAAATATAGAATTTCTTTGTTTTGTTGCTCTTTCTGCTGAGCTCAGAGTCGAACTGAAGATTTGTCGTGTGTAGTTTCTACATGAGAATCTGGATGACAGTAGATGCCCAGGCTACGTACTTCCGATCAAATTGGGTTTGAGCAAACTATTTCAAATATTTAGTCACAGCATTCTCTTTTTAAGCGTCCAACATATAAAGCATGTATAAATGAAGTCTGGGTTCTGTTATTTCTGAATAATACAACTACAACATCCGTGTAATGTGTGTGAGATAATACCTCCTGCTACTTTCATATTAAGCCCAAATAGTTCTGCCCCAAGCATTTATCATTACTTTAAAGCTCAGGCAGGTTGCCTTGGCTAGATTTTTATATATTTTATCAGGTATATTATCTGAGTGATTGGTGATCAACTCAATTATCACTGCAGTTACCTTTTGTGATGAAGGTGCACGTAAGGACGGGGTTTCGGGAAATTCCACCCGCAAGCGTGGAAAAATCGGGAAAACGTTTGTATGACACTTTTTGGTTAACCATTCGATCGGCCTCGAACTAATTTTCAAATATTTTTGTTCAAAAATAAAAATTAAAAAACACTACACTACTAGCTAAGCATGGGAAACAGAAGCGTACTTGAATTCTTGAGAATCGAGGAGTGGAGCGCTTGGTTAAAATTCATCTTATTCAAATTTACAGCACAGCGCCAAATAAGCTTGGTCTGCATTTGGTATTAGAAAACAGACATGCATGCATGCATATATTCATAAATGCATATAAACTTGCATGCATACACTAACACACAGACGCCCACGCACACGCGCACATCTATAATACGTACGAATTACATAAACATATAATATTCTTCTAGGTAGCACAATATATTCCTTTAAAGAAGATAAATTAACCCTGCTCACTTTTTTCAATACTTAAATTAAAAATAAATACAAAATTGAAACAGAAAAATGTTTAAATGAGAAGAAATTCAATTTGATTTTGCAGCACAAATCGCAAGTGAATGTATTCAAGAGAATTCGTGCACGGATTATATGTGCTAGGGTGGAGGAGGAGGGATGGGTTGAATGTGTGATTAGGGTTGCTGACCACTTGTACTCTTGGGGCTGGGCTCATGATCCTTGTATGGTTTATTTTAAGGCGGTCGAGTGGGGATGGGAAAGGGGAAGGGGAAGGGGAACGGAGGCTATATGCGAATGGCGCAATTTGAGGCAACAGTTTGGAAAATTGAAATGAAATTCAAGCCTTGCAATTTGCACGGAAATCTCAGCGCCGCATCGACCACACGAATGGCCTTAAAAATGTCTTTAGACTTCAGGGCAAAAGCCCCAAAAGTGTATGTCTGTGCCTGTGTGTGTGTGTGCTAGTGTGTGTGTGTGGTGTCGTAATAGACGATGAAAGCAAACAGCCGCAGAGTGGCTAAAGAAAAAACAAAGATGGCCAAGGGAAATGCATACGGGAGGACTATTTCAAATACCAGATTGGAGTAAATGAAAGCAGCAGCAGGGGCTTGGATTGAGGGGAGGCGGTGGTGAGGGGTTATACATATATATATATATGTATGTATATATATATATATTCCTTTTTGGTTTTTGGGTTCGTTTTTCGGTTGCGCCTTTGCATCTTTTGGCGTCTTTAGTGTGGTTTTGGATTTCTTGGCTCAAAACTTGCCAGCCAGGCCCAACTGGGTCGCTCTAGGTGATGCCAGGGTGTGTGTGTGTGTGTGTGTGCGTGCGTGTGTGTGTCTGTGCGTGTGCGTATGGCCGCAAGTTGCAGTTTTGCCTTGAAGTGCTTTGTAGCTGCTTTTGGCTTTGCTATGGCTGCACATCTTACAAAATTCTTTAAGATCTTCGACTGCGGTCGCTTTGACGACAACATTTGCCAAAGGCCTGCAAAGGGAGTGTGGGTTGGGAAAGGGGTTTTGACTGTTTTGGTGCCTTGGTCGAACGTTGCTGGTCGCTGACCAGTCAAATGCAAATACAAGCAGCTAAATTAAATGTGCTCGACTCGCTCATGCAATATTAAAAACCTGAAAGAGACGTCCAAAGACAAACACACATGAGTCGTGGTGGGGGTTGGGTGTTGGGGTTTGGGGGTTGGGGTCTGGCTTTGCTTGTCAATTAGAGTACGCGTTTCTCGATATCATTTTGTTATTCACATCACGTGACTTGATTCAATTAACCGATGCGCTGCTGGCCACAGAGTTTACTTTAACCACTGGCTTTTCCCTTGCCCCATGTACTAACTTTTCCACTACCATTCGGCTTACCCTTTCACCAGTTGCTGCCATTTCCACACATGCACGGCCGCAACGCGCGTCCCCCACATGCTAAAAGGGCGTTCGAGCCACTTAAGCGCCAGCCACGGCCCTGGCCGTGGTCCTGGCCCTGACCCTGTTCACCTGCTCGGCCCAGCTCTGTCTCCTTTCCACAGCTCTAAAATCCACGCTGGTCAGTCGCGTGTCCACACAAACACACTCACACACACACACATGCAAGGCCAGGGCTATTCACACGCCCGCTAAAAAGGGTTATTAACTCGTCAGCTTGGCTAAATGTCAGCTCAGGTGGCCGCACGGGGGGTTTCGTTGAGTGGAATCCCTGACAAAATCGTTGCCTGATGCGTGGTCACGCACCATTATCGTCACGACTAACCCCATCGAGTCCAATGGGCAGCAGGCAGCAGGCAGGGGTCAGGGGGCAAGGGGCAGGGGTCCGACTGGCCACTGGCCATTGGTGGACTGCCCCCGGCCTCACACTTCATTTGTTAGCCCTTTGCTGGTTTGCTGGGCCGCCTATCAATGAAGTTGTTAATTTTGTACTTTCAGCGACCCAGCACCCACGCGCCCTCCACCTCCCCCTCCCCCGCCACAGCTGAACCCCCAATTGAGCCACCTCCAGCGTTCGCTTGTCCAGGCCGTAATTTCAGTGAACTCTAAAAGGCTTAATTATTTTTGTGATACGCCTTAATCCAATAGCGATTGCTTTAACATTCCCATTCAGCTTGCTGCGCGGCTGGAAGCGAATTTAATGGGCTTTCAAGGGAACATGGAGGACGCTCAGTCGAGTCCAAGTCGGCTTCTCAGTTGAACTAAGACAACCGAAAAATGTCTGGAGCGCGATTCATGTGAGCATGGAGAACATGGGCTGTGCATTGTTTATGCCTAGCCCAAAAACGAGCTGCTTACGAATTGACAGTTTCCTTAGTGAACATGGAGGACACGAACATGCTGCATCGACGACAAGCAGACTATCTTTGGTAATCCATGATAATATTTAGTCAATTTTCGAATGGTCAGCATGGCAATATTGTCTTTAAAACTGATTCATCAGAGGAAGTTGTTCGTCCGTCCGTCCGCCTGAAGTTTTGAAGTTTTGAAGTTAACGTCCATAAACCTTGCTTATATATTGGATGAATCGGACGACTATATCATATATCCGCCATGGAAACGATCGTTTGTTAAGTAGTTTCTTTAAAGGAAAACTTTTTCGTTTTATCAGATATCCAAGCCTAACTTGAGAATTGTAAGTTTCACTAGGTTCCTTACAAAACCTACTAAACATCGAAACACTATATCATATAGCTGCCATAGGAACGATCGAAAATGAACTTATCGCAAGTTTTTCATGATATCTTGACCAAGCCTGGCATTTACATTTGAAACTATGCTGCTTATATATTTCATCAACATTTTTTCAAGATCGCAGTACTATATCACATAGCTCTAAAGAAAGAAACGCTTGAAAACAGAGTTTTTGTATGGAAAAATTTTCTGTTGCTAAGGTTAAGCTTTTACGAGCTCACAAGAGGTTTATCGTCCACAATAAGTATTAAATCTTCGGCGTGGCAATGTTATCCTAACTTTCTCATTCTGTTTCAAGCCAGCAACCTTTCGGGTTAGCTGCTTCGAGTTTGATATCATATTTTTTCTATGGTCATTAAGCGGCGAGGGTAACAATTATGAGTCGTATAGGAAAATTACAGGTTGCCAGTTGGTTGTTGTCTTTGGGTTTAAGTGCTCCTGCGGGAGGAGTTGGGTTTGGGTTTGGGTTGAGGTCAAACGTTTCGTATCGTAGGTTGCCTTTAAGTGAGCGACGCGTCGAGCACTTTAACCTGGGCCAATCGCAGGTGCGTGTGTGTTCCTTGAAAAGGGCTACTCAGCTGGATGTGTGGATGGTTATGGGTGCTTATAATCAGAAACTATAACAACTTTGCGCATAATCACGAATCATTTGAGTGCAGCCGCACCGAAATCCCAAACCGAAACCGAAACCGAAACGTGAAATGCAAATTACCCCAGCAAGCATATAAAGCAAAGGCCGTAGAGCTCATCCTGCGAAGAAGAAGCAGCACACACAGGAAAGGACACTACACACACTACACACACACACACACACATACGGACACACACATTGGGCAGGTCGTATGGGCGCAATAATAAATTGAAGTAACAAAATCTTAACAATTACAACAGCGCTGCCAAAGACGGGACACCAAGGACCAAGGCCAGGACACATACACACACACACACACGCACACACACAGACAGACAGACAAGCACACACACATGGCTGCCCCGGATGCAAAGGCCACAGCTGAGAGCCTGCCGAGCTTGAGGGGGCGGGGCGCATTTGGAGCGCTTCAGCATGAGCCCAATAAGTCTACGGTAATAATCGAGCATAAAGCACAATTTATTTTCATAAAACCTACAGACGTAAGCTTTATTGGGCCGCGGTGAGTGAGAAAGGGAAGGAGAGAGGAAGGGGTTCGGTTAGCTGATCAGAGTGCTGGGCACACAGGATACGCCAGCTAAAACAACGCTCGCCACCCGAAAAATGTCTGCCCTTAAGCCCGTGCCGGGCGACTTTTGATTTTAAAACAGTGACGGCCATAAGTAGTTGTAATGGCAGTTGCCACTGGCGGCATGTGTGTGTGTGTGTGTGTGTGTGAGGGGGAAGGGTAAGGCGGTGCTGCAGTG